TTGCTTGCTTCCAATTAATATTGCATTGTAGTGATCGAGAAATTAAGACAGGCACATATTCTGCCTCCAGGCCCGGTTGCTAGCTTGCAATTAATATTGCATTGCGTTGCGCTGTCTAGCCAGCTCGCGATCGATTAAGCAACAGATGGAGAGGGGAAATTCACACACCACTTGATTGTAGCGCGTTGGCTGGCTGCACTGAGTACAGTTGACTCAGCAAACAAGTGAAAAACGTAGTATTAGCTTGTTTCCCGCGACTTAATTAATTTCGACTACATCATCACCGGTTCAAGTATGGAGTAGTCAACCACGAAATTTCCGCTGCAGGAGGGACTCATCACACCTAACTAATTAACCCACGAAAGCTAGATAGATAATGACCAGCCAAGAAATTTCTGCCGCGCCCATTTTCGCCACTATATACTACCCCCATTTATAAGTATATGACGTTTAGGACAACCAAATTAGTTCAATGAACTAAATAACTTGTCCTAAACGTCATATATTTGGGAGTAGTATTACAGTAGGGAACTTGTTTTGCTTGTACTGTCGTCTATATATATGCGCGTCAAGCGCAGGTATAGTAGCCTCAGCTCAGCTCAGCTCCCTTGAAGGATCGGACTCTTTGCAAACAAATAATGTAGCTAGACCCGGCCCCGGCCTTAAGCTCTCGATCGGCGCGGCAGCTCTTTGATTCATTCGCGGGAATACTCAAATTAATATCCGCCCCGCAGATATCTAGCTGGTGCGGCCGGACGACGCAGGTAAACTAAAAATACTCCTACATCAATTCCCTTAATTCCCTAGCTAGCGCCCATGGCGTGCTGCATCATTAATTGTGCATGTGTCGATCTGTCTAGATAGATTTGCATGCAGGGTTGGTTTACTTAGGATCAGAAGACGTACGTGTAGCACTTTTGCTTGTCTTCCTTGTTCGTTGTCTTTTTTACAAACTACCCCTCCGTCTTTAAATAAGTGTCCTTTAAGAGTAAGTACAGTAATAGGCTTATAGCCAAGCTAGTCAGCATTTTTGTTGACGTGGAGAAGAGAAGAAAGGAGAGAGAGGAGAGCTTGGCTCCCATGTAAGCAACAAGCTAGGCACGGAAGCATAGACAGTAGTGGGTCCCAATAGAGATGTATATGAGTAGTAATAGGAAATAGAATGAAAACATGTACTAATAAAAAAAGTTTGTAGACAAATAGAAGACTAACTATTATATTGCTTAGCTGTTATAACTTGGCTTATAGCCTACCCAAGTACTTGACTCTATTATTGACCCTTCTCTTAGAGCAAGTTCAATAATAGAGCCAAGCCAAGTGTTTGGCTATTAGTTAAGTTGCAAGAGCCAAGCTTTACAATAGCGGTCTCTTATTTGTCTATAAGAAACTTTTTTTATTATTAGTTTTACACAGCCTCACCTTCTCTTTTCTAATCCTCCTCACATTCATTTAGTGTATGGACCTACCATTGTCTATGCATCCGTGCCCAGCTTGTTGCTTGCATAAGAGCCAAGCTCTCATCTTTCTCCTCCCTTCTCTCCTCCACATCAGCATTTACATAGCTATAAGCTAGTTATTGTACCTGCTCTTAGAAGTTGGGCACGGGAATTGAGGAAGAATGAAAAAGTAGAGAGTGCACAGGAAGCGAGGAGAGGTGGAAGAGGAGAGAGATAAAGATAGAGTTGTATTGGAAAGTGAGAAGGACATTTATTTTGGGATAAATTTTAAATCATAGAAGAACACTTATTTAGGAGCAGATGGAGTAGTAAGGTGGTCTGCGCATTTACGCGGCTAGATTTGTTTTAATTAAAAAGTAATTTTTTACTTTATTAGTTTCCTTTTGATATCAGCATTTCATTGAACTGTAGCTGTCTATTTTTTGTGTAGTCTCTACAGTCACATGGTCCATCAATCTAATAACGTCAAACTCATGTCGTCAATATGTATATGGTTTTTTTAGCTATTGATGATCGAAGCTAAAACATTTTAATATATTACTTATCACATAGCTATATTAAGTTTCATCACCTGGGTAATTACTGTGTTATATATATCCTGGACCATCTAAATAAATGAAGTATTTATTTCTTTTATGTTGGTTAATGATCGATCTCATGTGTACCCTCAACTTATCAATTATATGTGTTGGCACCTTTTTTTGCGACTAATTAATTGTTGTGTCTGCTTCTGGTCTTACGTGTTTTTGTGTATTAGCCTGAAATAATATTTTCTGGCGTGTTACCATGCTTTGGATTTGTACCTTTTCATTAAGGTTTTTATTTTTATTTTATTCAAGGAAATATTTCATTATATGAACAAACTTTTATACCGTTGCTAAATACTGCAGAGGTGATGATAAGCCGTGTAGAAAGAACAAAAAAAAAATATGGGGCTCAGATGTGTGCATAACTCAGTCTGACCTAATTGAGTTAATTGGACTTTTGGTAATCTGCGCCTTGTTGCCCTTTGAGATCCTGCTTAAACAGCATAATATGTATGCAGTCGTGCCAACTATTCGGGAGTAGTAGCTCATGATAGGTTATATATAGCAAATCAACTTTGCACATCAGTGCCTAATTCCAAGCGGCACAACAGAATAACCTTGTCCAACCTGGCAACAGGCGCAGAACTTTGTTGCACTACTACTCAAAGGCAGCATAAGCAAAGCTACCATGCATGGGTTCTTCTGGGTCGGAAGAGAGGCGGATGCTGATGCATGGAGCCACTAAAATATACCAGTCTCTGAATTTCCAACGTTGTGAGCATGAGGTGTTCCTGAATAGATAATACCTTCATTAGAATCAAGCAATGCAAATTAAACGAACGTTAAATACTGTTGGAGTACGTGATATATATGGTCATTTGACCCAACGTGCCTACCTTTGATTGTATATCTCATGGCGTTTGGAGCTAGTCCTGAATCTCGAACTTGTTTGGCTGAGCTATGGCCCAACGCACAACTTCCTGTGCTAGCGGAGATGCTGCAGGGAGCTGCATGACTTGCGTTAAAGCTTGGCAGTTTGCAACGTCTTCCTGCTTGCCTGCTTTGCTGCTCCGATCCTTTCTTTATGACATATGTTTGACGACCAAATTCGAACATCATATCGAAGCTCACGTTGCTGTCGTCGGGTCGGATCAGATCGGAGAAGCTAGCTGCCGGCCGGTGATCTAGTACAGCTGTAGAGGCTTCCGGCTCTTTGCTGAAACTGATCTGCCTCCGCGCTCTTTGTTGCACGCAACCTAATCGGGTGCAGAGGAGCCACAGGACCATTGGCTTGGCATCACCTTGCAATTCTTGGGTCTCTTAGAGCTGGAGAGATACTTGGGCTGATTATTCCATCATCAGGGGTTCGTCACGCTAGCTTCTCCGGACCTCGTTCGCATCCGGTGGCTGCTACATCAGCTTCCCAGAGTCCTCGAGGCCGTTGCGCGCTACCTCTTCCGCCGCTGCAGACTCTTGAAATCACCGTACCGGCCGGACACAGTGTCAATGGCGACGGCGTCTCGATCTCTCCATGACGCGTGGGAACCCTTGAAAGCTTCCTGCTGTTATATGATCTGCTTGCTTTGCATCACGATTGATGATTACCTAATAAAGTTTGATAGATTCTATTCCAACATGGTAAAATAATCTCGTATTTCCTTATTTGACATTTTGATATGTCTCCTGGTCAATTCAAATACACATATGTGATCTATCTCGCTACTATCTAATACAAAGGATATTCTATCTTTAGTCCGTTCATCAAATACATAATAGGATAATCTTTCTTGCCATCATATCACAAATCAATCACAGTCGTACCCACTAAAATCGATGGTAGTTATTTTTTTCTAGTTTCTACGATTAACGTGGTAATTTCTAAGCCTTGAGAGCAAACGTGGAGGCTTCTTTTGTTGGCCAAATTCTAAGATAACTAGTAAAGTGACCCACGCATTTCCGCGGCTAGACACATAATTTGTTCCTCCCTCTTGGATCTTTTCAATTTGATTTTGTTACTTTTCAAGCACTTTGATTGGTATTGCAAAGGAAGTGAATACGTCATGATCTTTTTTTTCCTGTATATTTTTAGCTCCGGATGCAAGTCATCATATACACCGTAAACTTATTAATATATGACATTTGGGATACATACAATCTACTGTTATTAAGAAATTCAGTGGTTACTTTGTAACAAAAATGATAGTAAGAAGCTATAAAATTCATTTGTTTTTCTTAACAAATCTAATAATTCAACTTTTATGCACCAATCCACGTACATTTTCTTAGAATAATGGCTTAACGTGAGAGTACAACAATGCTTAATGAGCAAAGGGAGTGTTTACTTTAGTTTCTCGGATGGCTCTAGCAATGGCAGATGCCACAACTCTAGCCTCAAGGTGCTCCTTGGCAGTTGATATTGCTTTACCGACCTCAACCGATCCTTGCTCCTTGATGCGACCTCCACTGACCGCCACCGTGTTCGTGATAGTGTTCCTCATCCATCTGGTTCTCCCGTTATTTTCATCCATATGGTTCTCCCGTTATTTTAGAGTTTGATTCGGCTAAGCTCTAAACGATCTTATTTGATGATCTTATCAAGCGTATACCTATCTCTCTCTTTTTTTTGCGAGGGAAGCATATACTTATCTCTTATATGTTACAGAGATAGCATGAATCGGATGCCCATGTCTCATGCAATCAATTCTATCTTGTACAACTAATTTAAACCTTTTGTCTCCCCGTCGGATTTATTATTTTCTTTCCTTTTCATAGTGAGTAAGGGTTCACGTGGGAGATATTTTTAAAATTACTAAGAAAACATTTTTTAAATAGCAATGCTTGGTATTTATGGATAGACTTAGGCGTATTTTGGGCTAATTTTATCATAATGGTAGTGGTGGGTAATTTTTATTTTCCTTTTTTCGATTATTCTAGGCCTTGAGAGCGAACGTGGAGATTTCTTTGGTTGGTCAAACACTAAGATAATAGAGGATGAAACGATCCATGAATTGTATGCATGGGGACGGACATACTTTGGTTTGATGATGAGGTGAGCCGTTAGGCACAAACGGTATGTGAACGTACCATCATCATTATCATCATCATCAATAGTGATATGATCGATATGATGGAGAGCAATTATATTATTATTAGCAGGTCGGCCGGTCTTACCAAAAATCGGACACAAAAACCCTACTCACCTCGCCACGATCCATATATGTTAGTTGCAACCTGTTATACCTTTTTCGTTCCGAGTATATGCATCATCTTGTTCAATGTCCTGCTTTGTAAAACTTTGAACTACCTCTTTTTTTAATTTAATACTAATATGTGTAGCTCTACTGCGTACTCCCTCCATCCCGTAAAGGAAGTCATTCTAGCATTTGAAATTTATCTCACAAAAGAAAGTCATTCTAGGAGAAGTGGGCCCGGTATTAAATCATGCCGCTATTGGACTTTGCATGCATGCGCGTGGGGATTTGTCAACTGCACACAGCATTGGTTGAGAGCTAGCTTGCATACATGCATGCACACACAAAACTAAGAGTTTCCTTGTACTCCGTAATTGTCTACCTCCTCAACACTAATCTGTCTTAAAAATGTTAGATTGACTTCGCAATAATAATACAAGTGTGAGTCGTTGTGTTTTTTTCCCCCTAAAACAATCAATAATTTGTTTATTTTGTTATCAGGCGGTTCTTCTTCCACTACCAATAAAGGGCAACAAAGTTATGACAAAGGACGAGAAGGGGAAGGGGAAGGAGACGATGGAGAGTAAGAATACAAGAAAGACCCATCAAAAGTCGTCTGACAATGACAACGAGCGTACAGGGAAGACTGACACTGGCACCGGTGATAAGTTGATAGAAAACATGAACCGTAGCAGTACAGGGAAGAGTGACTATGGCATTGACACCCAAAGTGATAAACAATCTAAGGAGAAGGGAAAGGGGAAGGAGACGATGGAGAGTAAGAATACAAAAAAGACCCATCAAAAGTCATCTGACAATGACAACGAGCGTACAGGGATGACTGAAAACAAGCCTAAAGGGAAGAGTGACAATGGCATTGGTGCTAAATTGATACAAAACATGAAGATAGCACCCAAAGGAAGGTAATCAAACAAGAAAGAAGATTAATGCCAACAAGGTAAAGGCTGGCAGAACTAGGGCTCTTAAATAACGTGGAGCGCGGTAATTGACGTGGCTGTATACAGCAACAGAGGATGTGGACTGGTCTTCTCTTTCTTACTAAGAGAAGAGAATGATGCTGAGCATTCTGCTCATAATGCAAGCAACAAGCCTTGCAGCTCTGTAATTATGTTCCTTTTTTATATTTTTCTTAATTTGATATATATGGTGTGACAACATTAGTTGTTATCCATATTATGTGAAATTTGTATCATTTCAAATAAAATGGATTTTGCTTTGTAGAAATTTGTAATGGCTTGTTCTACTGCTAGTTGCGAACGATCCGCTTTAAGTGGCATTTGTAATTAGCAGGGGTAAGACCGTAAGAAGCATTTTTCTTTTTGCGCGACTCAATACAAACACAAGCACTCATATAAATGCACACACACTCATCCCTACAAACACACACATGCAAATTAACACTAACCCTATGAGCACCTCTCAGAGACTGAGGTAACCTGACAGATGTTGAGATTGATGAAGTCACCACATGTGCATCGCTATCGACATGCATGTCACCTACCACTGAAAAAATAGCACCGTTAAATCTTACAATAAATCCAGGGAAAGGTGAACTTACCTACCCGTGCCAAGTCGAGAACTTAAAACCAGGTGGCAGATTCCTCCATAAGGAACATCTGTTGCAATTATATTAGCAATAGTATAGTACTCAAACAAACCAACTAGATCAATATCGTTTGTAATTTTGTATTGTTCCAAAAGAAAACTATATCCAAATTCTCGACGGACCACTAATCATCTTGTCTCCAAATAGATGAGCTCAAAATACTCATCCCGTTGCTTTCACTTGCACTTCTTCTAAATGCTTGCCGCATTTTAGTGCATATTTCCTATATATGTGCTAAATACTTTTTCACACTAAGATTTATGCATGAAAACATTCTTCATAATTTATTGATGTATTGTCCCATTGCATGTCTATCACACCCAAAAAATTTTGATTTTGGGTTGTGCAAAGAAAACACTAAATAAAATGAATTATTTTAATATTTAGATAAAATTTACCAAGTTTAGTTTGAGCTAGCACAAATTTAGCTATAGAAAAAATATGAATTTTTAAAGTTTTATAATTTTGACGGGCGTTTGGATGATGTGATGTTTGCTTGTTGCTTCTTTGTGTGTTGAGAGTGAGCGAAGTCTTTAAAATACATTAGTAAGTCGATTTTTCTTCTCCGGCACGCCTTTATCTTTTTCTACAATTAAATTCTTTGTTTCTCGGCTCAAGTTTTCATTGGGAGCTGCTTAAAATCTTTTTCTTATAACGCAAATCACTCATTTTAGTTCCTCGTCCGTCAATCAATCTCTACAAACTTCTCGGAAAAATTTTCAGCTTTTTCTAGAACTTGTTCCTACTTTTCTATGAGAATAATTTAATTTTTAGATACTCCAAAATATCTTATCATGGGCTCCAAATACTTTATTTGGGTTCCTCATGTTCCATAATGTCTCTGGGAAATTTTCCCGAATTTTCAGAGCTTTCGGAGTATTTTTCATGGCTTAAATAATAATTCTAGACTTTTCTGGAATTATTTTATCCAAGAAATTAATTAATTCCGAAAATAATAAATCTCTCATTTTTTCCAAAGCTCAAAGCCCATGTGCAATAATCCTAATAAATCCTAAAGGCCCATGCATTTATTTACTAATGGGCTTTAATGATTATTTAGGCCCATTAGTAAATATGAATGGTGCAACATCAATTAGTATCATATTGCTATTTGATGTAGATGTAGGAAGTTTTTCTCCCAATAAATATGTACCAACCCCTTAGCCAAAGTACACCAAAACTACCGTAAGGGAGCCCCTAGTTTCGGAAATCCCTCGTGTAGTAAATTAGATTTTTCTCCTCCTCTCGCCGTCGCCGTCGCCGTCGCGCTACCCAACCCGGCCATCCTCACCTTCGTACAACAAGTAAGCCCACCCCTACGCACTTGTTGTTGCCATGGCCGTGTGGTGGCTATACGGGAGGCCAAAGGATGAAGACGAGGTAATTACGAAATTACCATCGGTTCGTAATATCATCGTCGTATATTCGTTTTAAGTCCGTTTCGAGTCGTTCCAATTGTGTTAGATTCGTATCGATGTGATCTACATGCTAGTGTCGTCGCTTTTCATGTCAAGTGACTTTTATATATATGCTTAAATATTAATTTGATTAATATGCAAGCAACTAGTTTTTATAAATAAAAGCAACATATTTATATACAATGTTCTTTTACAAATAAGTTTTAACATGACTAGTTGCTAATATAAATTTGTTTCTAAATTATAATATGTTTAGTCTAAACACACGTATCAAATTTGATTAGATGTTCTCACATGTCAGTTTGTATTGCAAGTTAAAGTTGAATGGGAATAAATGATATCAAAATATTTATAAATAAAATATGATTAGCTTCAACTCAGTTTTTAAGTATAAATATGATTTGTTTAATCTAAATTAATTCTACTCACATAGTTTTTCCTAATTAACATAAATCAAGCTTATAGTCTTCTCTTTTCTTTTATAATATAAAACCATGTAGTCGTTTCTTTACAATCGTAGCTCTGATAAGCGTGCTTTTCGTGTCTGTGTGTTCGTAGCAACATCTAGAACATCTTTAAAACCTTTTTACTTGTTGTTTATTATGTTTGGTGTACTGTTCTGATTTAGTTCTATTGTTTGCTTCGTGTATGATTGCATGGATGCTTGTGTGGTGCTTTATGATCATGTCCAGTCGGTGAGCTATACATGGTAAATCAAGAAGCAGACCTATGAAGGTTTGGACTAGAAGAAGGATCAGAGTTTTAAGGCAAGTATAGCATGTGATCTTCTTTGTTGTCCTACACACCTTTAATCATTTAATTCATACTACATATGTCTACCTTGACTACCACTAAGGATTTTCTAGTACTTTGTACCTAATAACTTGACACCTATGGGGTATTGCATTGGGTAGTATGATGCTGTTGCTCAACTACAACCATGATCTTGTAACTTGACTAATGCTATATGCAATAAACACTAAAAGATATTTTTTAGCAATATGGAACAAGGGGGCTAGAGCATTGGGCTATTTTATGGTGCTCTAGATTCCTCTCCCTAAGGACTTATCTATAAGTGATCATCCGGGACTTATAGTGCAGCTGTGAGGGCTATATGACTCTAGTTTTAGCTCAGTATGAGGACCTTTTCTAGCTTGTTAGTGGTTACCTTTATTGGTGTAAGATTGACTAGACGAATCAGGGTTAGTGTAGCCTCTGCCCCCTTGTGTAGAGGCTGCGCGTCATTGTAAGGCTCTACATCTGTTTACCGAGTGAATCTAATAGCCCTAACTTATTTGATGAACCTTTGAAAGACTTCATAGTGAACCCTACCAACCTTCCTTGGAAGTGGGTTAAGAGATTAGCTACCTTGGACGAAAGGGTAAATCACGACTCACAGTGAAAGTGTACAACCTCTGAAGAGTATAAAACTGGTATATCAACCGTGCTCACGGTCACGAGCGGCCTTAGAACCCTTATGGAATAGATAATCATTAATGGTTAATGATGATAGACACTAATAATACTGGTGATAAAGATGCTCACTAATGATTACTGTTTATGTTATTCATTATTCATGTTTACCTGATCATGTGTTTAAATGGGCTTATGATAAACTTGTTGCTACTCCTATGCTAAAATTGTGATAATTAAAGGCTAGTCGTAGTTAAACCAGTGTTAGCCTTTTAAGCCTCATGAACCCCATGTTATATTTATTGAGTACGACATATACTTACGCTTGCTTTACTTTTTAAACCTTTAGAAAAATCCTGGATGGGTACCAAATTGCTAGAGTATGAAAGAATTAGGCTTGTGATCAACCAGTCAGCTGTCCCTGTGGAATTGGAGTCTTCACCCGAAGATCGGTTTCCGCTGTTTGCTATCTAAGGTTATATTCTTTATACGAAGTATGTTATATATTGAGCATTGTCTATTGATATTACCCTTATTTATAGCTATATGTGAGATTTGACTTCCTGGACGCATATATGGTGTGTATCTAGTTTTGTTCTTAAAATCGGATGCTACAAAGTGGTATTAGAGCAATACTGACTGTAGGACACAAGCCTAGTAGAAACTAGACGTTCTAAGGTTTAGAATTTGCTACAAGACTACTTTTTTTTTGCTTGACTAGTTGAATTGATTATTTCTTATCCTTGTCATATTTTCTTCTCTCCTTGATAGCTTCATTTGAGCTATTGCTTCTTATCTCCTTGATTTTTATTTCTTTGGTTCACTAAAGTTTTCTGATCTCACCTTATTCAAATTTGCGATGGCCTTTCATCATAATGCACTCCTTAGGATGTCCATCATTACTACAGAAGCACGTGTAGTTTCGATGTTGTGATGCATGCTTGTCGTGTTTGGTGTGTTGCTTGTTTGTTATCCCTATCTTTGTGATCCAAAAGAAGGCCCTGAAGACTACACCAACACGAGTATCTTCGTATAGAATATTCAGAGTTTAGCAAAACTCTTGTTAAGTGGGGTAGCATCCTCTACAAAGCATCGTTGACCTTTATCTTCCTTGCTATCCTGTGAAACTCCCAAATCCACTTTATCATGCAAGTTCATTCCTTCATCTCATGAATCCCAAATCAAGGAAGTGTGGAGGCGTGAAGATCTTCTTTATCTTTCTCCCTAATCTCTCCGAGTCTCGGGACGAGATTCCTGTTAAGTGGGGTAGTCTGTCACACCCCAAAATTTCTGATTTTGGGTTGTGCAAAGAAAACACTAAATAAAATTAATTATTTTAATATTTGGATAAAATTTATCAAGTTTAGTTTGAGCTAGCACAAATTTAGTTATAGGAAAATATGAATTTTCAAAGTTTTCTTATTTTGACGGGCGTTTGGATGATATGATGTTTGCTTGTTGCTTCTTTG